CATCTTTTATATGGTCATCTTTTTGCTTAATCTATGAAAGTAATTACAGTCTGGAATACATATAATTTATACAACATGGAATTGGAACTCCAGGGAAAAAGATACTACTGTTCAGAGAAGAAAGGGAAAGTGGAACATCTGGACAAAATCAGACAAGGATAACCAGAACACAAGTTGGTAGAATTGCCACAGAAGTTTTATTTTGCAAGAATTCCTAGGGTGAGCTCGTGGCCTTATTCATTTGACATGCAAATTACCCTTGCCTTTGCATCTATTTATATTTTGGCCTCCTATGGTGGCCTAGGTTGAGAAACATAGTTTGAACCCCTTCCACACCCCCATTATACAAACCTAATCTGCACTGCCGGTCTGTTTCTGGGTCAGATGCCTGCAGCCAGAGCAGTGGAAGAACAGTGTATAGGAGCAGCCCCTCAGAAAGAAAAGAATTGAAATAATTTCTGTACAACATTTCACAGGTCTTTGACCATTGCCAGAGTGGGATTAATCAGTTTTCAATAGCCCTGAAGAAATCAACGTGCCTGGGGCCTGAGCAGTATAACCACAGAAACTTGTCAGTGCAGGGGGAAGGCCAGAGCCTTCACACCAAGAGGCAAACAAGCAGCTCTGGCTGCAAGAACCACTGTTCCCCTGCGCTCCAGCTGCTCAAAGGCAAGTTTACAGAGCATATCCTCTGAATAACTCTAGATCCAGAGGTCTAACCATCCATTGTAAAGTCACAGAGGGGTCTTCTCTGCCCTGACAGGCAGCACGGCATCCAGGAGAGCCCCAGGCTGTGGGCCTCACACAGCCCTGCTGGCTGCCCTCCCAGAGCAGGGGCTTGTGGTATGCGCTTGGGGAGTCCCGAGGCTGTTTGGCACTGGAAGCAAACTAATGCAAAACACAGTCAAAGTGCTTTCATGTGAGCTCCTGAGGAGAGGCCAGGGCAGCTGTAAAGAATATGCATGGCCCAGGGTTTGTTTACAAGGAGAGAGAGAGGGGGTTGTTGTGGGAAATGGCCACATCACTATTCCCGTGGTGCACTGTACCTTGTTTATATGATAGTGCCAAGTGGCAAGCACAGACACACTTGTGACAGAGCACCTTGGGAACTTCAGAGCCTCCTTTTGATTTTCTTCAAATCCTGAAAAGGGAGAAAGTTGTTTAAATTTGTACTACTGTCACTGCTGCTCAGCTGTTTGAACCTTTTCTCCATCCGCTCATGTTTACTTCTCTCAGCAACGGTGAGTTTCTAGAGTGTATTAGAAACATCACAGGCAATGCCAATGCTTGAAATTGAGCAGCTGAGGTCACTTGGCTTGTTCAGTCCGGAGAAGGAGAGACTTGACAGGAGACCTCATGGTGGTCTACAGCTTCCTCACAAGGGGAAGTGGAGAGGCAGACACTGATGTCTTCTCTCTGGTGACCAGTGACAGGACCCAAGGGAATGGCATGAAGCTGTTTTTAGGGAAGTTAGGTTGGATATAAGGAAAAGGTTCTTCACCCAGAGGGTGGCTGGACACTGCAACAGGCTCCCCAGGAAAGTGGTCACAGAACCAAGACTTCCAGAGTTCAAGAAGCATTTGGACAATGCTCTCAGGTACATGGTGTGATTTTGGTTCTGTCCTGTGCAGGGCCAGGAGTTGGAGTTTGATGATCCTTATGGGTCCTTTCCAATTCAGGATGTTCTATGAATCTGTGAAATTCATGCTTGTATTTTCGGGTGGATGTTTTACTACTGAAGCTCTGGGTAGTGTGATAATAGCTGTATTTGTAGCAATTTCTGTTGTCTGCAATTTTCCCTCTTTTAATGACACATTCATAAGTACTATTCCAAACTCAAATAAAAAGTATTTCTGTTCTTGTTTGATAAAAAAGTATCTCTGTTCTTTTTTAATAAGAGCTTAGTAAACATAGCACATTGTGTGAGCCCAGGAGTGTAAGAACTACTGGCTTTTCTATCCATACTCTGTGAATTTAATTTACCTTTTCAGATTAGTTTTATTCCCTGTAGGTACGTCCTGGACTCCTCTGTAATAATTATTTTTGATGACTCCACTAACGCCTACTGCTGAAGACAGAGATGATCTATTTCAGACTCCTCCGCTGAATGAATTTAGCCAACAATCCACTCATGACTCTGGCAGATGTTTTTACTTTCTTTCTTTCCTTCAGGCCAGTAAAAACTTTATAAATCTTCACTCTACCATTCCAGAAATGTGATAACTTTCCCCCTTGACACCTGAAACATCTCACTGACCTTGTCTGCATACAGTAGAAGTGTTTGTATATACTACAGACCCCTGAGTTTAAAATTAATAAAACCTCAACATTTAGTCTTATAAAAGCTTGATTTAGATTAGACTAGGATCCACAAAATTAGGTTTTCTTAAGAATACTTACTCCTGGTGCTCACATACCCACAATTCAAAACCTGTCAACTTGATTACCTACTGTAACAATTCCAAATATTTATGTTGGTTGTCCCTGCTGTTTATATAACATTGTATCTCCCCTCCCTAGTATGTGTGTTAGTAGCCATGAAGTTAATGGACTATTTTCAATAGTCAGGACACGTTAGCCAAAGGTTCTATAGAAAATGGATGAGGTCCTGCTCCAAATCAAGCCTGAGGCATGTTAACTACAATCCTTCCTTTGTCTCCTTTTCAAAATACTAACTCATTCCTTGGTCTGCTTTCTTGTTGAAGAAGACCAGAGAGTTCAAAGAGGCTACTTCAGACTCCCTTTTCAAATGGTCTTTAAGGCTTATCCTTCTTCTGTTTGTTGGAACTAGAAAGCATTTAGATATGTTGACTATTTTGAGGGAAAGAGTGAGGTGAACTGATTATTGCAGTCCAGCTCTCTCTAGACTAGTGGACACAATATTTTTTGGAACTAAGTTTTGCTAAGAAGCCAAGGATTAATTGGTTATGGAGACTAAATTATCTTTTCACTTTATAATTTATTAGAAAATGTCACAGTGTTGTAACCAGAGGCTGCTAGAAGCCTTCATCATGATGAATAATTTTGACATGATGCGACATGTCTGAGGAGGAATTTTTGAAATTGCTCTAATATGAATAAATAAAATAGAGATTAGTATTCCAGAAAAAATATGCAAACTCAGAAAATTGCAAATGAAGACTGGCATAAACTTTTCTGGTTTGTTTTGTTTTTCTAAATTGTGAAGTTGTTGGAGTTTTTTCAAAGTAGTAACATAAGAATTTTTTAAAATTTTTTTTTTTTTTTTTTGCATCTTATTAGTACAGTGCTAATTGCAGCTTGTTTACAATCCCTATAAAATAAAATTCCCATCAGGACAATACTCTATTTCAGTTTTTCTTCACAAAGCAGGGGATGGTGATCTCTTTCTTCTGTCAATCTCCTTGTCATTCCTATCTCAGTACCATTCTTTGTCTTCTGCTTCTCAATAAGCCTGCAAGTTATTTATGCAGAATTTGCAATATTTGGCTCAGCAAATTTGTGTTGTACTCCTTGGACATCTTACTATCTCATACTTCCCTGGGTATTTTCTGTTTTCCGTGCATTCTCTGCAATTGCAAATCCCCAATGCTTGCATGAATTAAAGGTTGGTATTAGTGGATCTATGCAGTGGATTCATTCAGGTTCTGTGTTGTGCTGAGGAACAGCCATTAGTGTAAAACTCACAGAAATGAGAAAAATTATGAACACTGGCCAAAAAAGTCACCACCTCACAAAAGAGTAAGAATAGCTTGGTTAGGATGACTATTCCTGCAGCCACAACAGCAAAGTGTAATGAAAAGGAAATATTTTTTTGCCTTCTCTTCTTTTAAGCTTTTTGAAAGAAAATATTTAGGCCTATGGCTTTGTTGCAGGATTTACTGGTAATTCACATAAACCAATATCTGGTCTAAGTCAGGAACTGCTTTGTAAACCAGTATACTTGTCCTAGTATACTGATGGAAGTAGTAGTAATTCAGGTGACAGCTGTAATGAGAGTGCCATTTGCTTATAAAATACCAAAAGGTGGAAATAATCATTAGTCACATGCAAACAGGACTGCAATGGGATGAGATACCTGTGTGCGCTTATTACCCTTAAGCACCTATTTTATTAATAACACTGCTGTAAGCATTGTGTTTAAACTATCAATCTTCTATTAAGACTCAGAGCAAACAGCCAAAGCTGTAGGAGTCTCTCTACATTTCAAAAGGCACATTCTGCAGGACAGTATGCCCACTGGGAGACACCTGGGCAGGTGATAACCTTGAAATTGTCCATTCTAGGTCACCTATCCATAGGTCATTACTGCCTTAACTCACCTCCTCAGCAACAGCCTGACCACTTTCACCTGTTGTGGGTTTTCTAGGCGTGATGACTTGTATTTGAGAAATTTGATCCCATCTTGGATTAATGGGAGTTTTATCTCTGACACCCATGAGGCAGAGTTGAGGTTTTGATGATGTGTGAGAAGCAACAACTGCTTCTGTAATGTCCATCTGCAGCTTTTTGGAATGATTACCTAGAGAGGGCATGGGTGCTCTTGACAGAGAGCAGGTACGAAAAGGTTCTGCTTCTTTGGATCTACCTTACGGAGAAGAACACTCCTTTAATGATTCCATAATTAAAAAGAACAGCGGAAGTAAGTCCAAACCTTTAATAGCTGCTCAGATTTTAGGCTGAGTGTTTAGGAATCTCCTAAGATCCTACAAGTGTTTTCTGTGTCTGTCTGGCATAAGAAACTAGTAGTATTCTACCATTAATATTGTTACTGTAATCCTGTATTATTTGTCCATGTTTTACTCAGGACTGTTCTGCTCCCTAAGGATTAGACTTTGGCTAGTGTTGCATTCTCATCAGTGAGGGATGGCTTGTGCATCTGGGTTTTACATCAGAAATGCATGCTCTCATTTGTGTGAAGCTCATTCAGAAAATTGACTGGTTTTTCAAAAGTGGGATGGTGTAGTTTTATACCAATGGAGTGCCAAAGTTCATGTGTCCTTGTTTCTGGTTGCAGGAAAAGACATCAATACAGAGCACATGTGAAATTCTATCTGTGTAATGAAGTAAAATTCTTTGACTACACTGTTTCCAGTGTAAACTACTGAACTTGCAAACACCAAGTTGCGTGGGAGATAAGACAAGGTGATGAAGTCCGAGCAAGATGAGGAAGCACAGAGACTGTAAACACATTACCTTCTGTTAAAGGAAACATGTGTTGTAAAGATATAGACTCTTTTATTTTGGTAAGAATAAGCTTATTTTTTTCTGATACAGGTGGCAAATTCTCCAAGGAAAACATCTACAAGAGAGCAGAGGTAGGCCAGAACATTTAATAAAAGCCTCATTATCTGTTGTTCTGTAAAGCAGAGGACCAAATGCTGGTCTCTTAAAATTAGTGCAAAACTGTCTTTTTTAATGGCCTAGGAGTTTATCCCAGGTGTTTTGCTACCATAGTGACAGTCTTATCCACACATGTAGAGAGCAGTTGGTTTAAATTAAGAACTGCTGTTATCAAGGTGCAGTTTTGGAACCAAAGGACAGCTAGAGCTAAATGAATTAAATGTAAGTATTAAAAAAAATATTTCCCAGTACACATTCTAGATGTAGACTAGTACTTGACAGGATACTGCAAGCATCATTGCAATACTTACAGATCACAGTAAATACAGCAGAAGTATACATAATACAAATAAGTTTTACCTTCAGAAACTTATGTCATCTAAGCCCACGAGGCTCAGTGAGCACACTAATAGAAACCAAAATAAATGTATAAATTCATATACCTATACCAACTGTCTTTAGGGCAAATGTGAATAAATATACTGTTAGAACAGTCCATTTGTTATAAAACTATGCCAGGTATCAAGAATGGTAGATTTTCCTATAGTTTCCTTCACAAAGAGACTGCATACAAAAGAAAAATGTTTCAACTTCTGTATTGTGGGAATATCCTAAGTTCTTATTTCTTTGTGTTCTGATTCAATAAGTACTAGTACCTGTGCTGATCTTTTTCTTTACTACTTTTCAGAACAAGGCTGTCCTGAGCTAATTTATGCTCTTCATTTGAAACATTGATGGCTGGCACTGAGAGCAAAACAAGAAAACTGGGCAAATTTGGGGGATCCTGTTATCTTTAATATGTTTCTAGCAATGCCTTTCATGAGAATTTTAGATCTTCATGAATTTGAAAATAGAGGTAATAAACCAGATAAGTATAGTGAAAACTTGAAATAAAAGTGGGAATTTTAATTTGGTTCTGAGATAACCACTTAGACTAACATATTTTAAGATTTTGTATTAATTCAGTTTTATTTTCATGTCTAGTTGTCATTAATTATACATAATACTGAATCCTACCATCAACTTCTGAAGCCTGTGGAAAGTGAAATTTGCACTGATGCCTGTGGCTCTTCAGCTCAACCCATGCAAGCTACAGACAGGTTTGCATTTTTTTTTTTTTTACTGTCATGGTCACAGGTATAAACTGAGCAATTATTTTTTGGATGTCCAGTTTTTGTGAGGCAAGTGAGTCTTATTGACAGGTCTGTTTCCATATGATTTTGATTCATAGTGACTTTACACACGCCACTTGTGACTTTTCCACTGCAGTTACTGGGAACTGATTTTTAATTCTTAGTTACTTAGTTATATTTGTTTCAATTTTTAAATAAAACATATCTTTGAATATGTTTACTGCTTCAGCTGTGAAGTCATTTAAATAGCAACAGTACTAGGGAGCATACTGGAGTATCAGACAAAAACAAAAGAATTTCGAAAGATCAGTTGAATTTTTTAAGCTCAAAAGCATCTATTTGATTCAAATCATACAATGTGTGACTGTGATATCATTAAAACAAATATCCCAAATGAGCCATCCCTCACCCTTCATACCAAAGGGGTGACATCATTTCTGCATATTGTATTGATAGTTTTTGTCATTCAGTACAGAGGTCAGGCAAGTAAGCTGGGAAACCAAGCTGTGTTCCAAAAGGCCACACCAAGTCCCAGCATGAGCTTTTTATTTTCTTTGAATGTAAGATCATAAGAAATTAACTTTTAATGTGTTTTGTCCACCTGTGTTTACTGTAGCTAGGGGACCTATTGCTTTCCTATTGCTATTCTATTTATTTAAAGGCAAAATGAGAACAGAAGAGTATATGGGAATACTCCTAATAAGATTTGGGCAAAAGGAGCCTGTACATTGCCATCCCACACTGCTGTAGCTTCCGAGCAGACTGCTGGTTGCTTGCCTGGCTAATTTTATGCTGTGCTTCTCACTTTAGGCTATGGCTCCTACAGCATTGGTCTCATACTTTACATGTTGTGGAAAATGGCATTTGCCTTGAAGTCAGTGATAGCTGAGTGCATACACTGCAGAAAATAAACACAAACATTGCTTTCGTTGTCTCTTCCTTCCTCTATTATGTATGTTAAACTTCTGCTATTGTTGTTTTTTTCCTCACAGAGATACCAGGAATACCATTGGAAATTGTCTTCCAGCTCCTTCCTTGAAGGAAGGACAAGGAATCAGTTTTTTATTTTTATGTTTTTAATAGTGGAAGAGTACCAAGTCACAATTCTGAAACTTGTTCTACTATGAAAATAGCCCTACTGAGAACATAGCATGGCTTTGTTTTGCCATTCCGCAGAAAAAAAATCAAGAGGATGATGAGCAAATGCAAAAATATGTTTAAAAAAAAGGTCTTTTTCTTATAATATCTTGCACATGTTTATGGTTAAAAACATTTGTACAAGATAGGTGTCTTTTATTATGATATGTCCTAAAACAACCCATTCACTGAATAATATATAATAGTTACGCTAAATGTTGTCTGCTTTTATCATAGTAACAACAGAATGGATTTGACAGTGCCTGTACTACTGTTTGCAAAGAAACGCAGGCAAATTCAGGCTCATACCGCTTGCCAGACACAGAATGCTTTCTTAATGGTGAGATAAATTAGTTTCCATTTTAATGCAAATTTTCCTGCTTATTGGCTACAGAGCTCTTCTGTTGTATTCGGAGGGAATGCATCTTAAGCACTGGAGAGGCTTTGCATTACTTCCAGATACTGCTGAGATATGTGGGGCAGTGAAAGCAATCAGACAGAGAAATTAATGTCATTTCATTCTGTTTTCTCTGTATTTCTTCATCGAATGAAGAAACAGTGGGGGAAAAGAGATTTTGGCATCTCTAGTTTAAATAGTGTATTTCTCAGACCACTGTTATTCATACAGCTTTGTATGTAAATGTGTTCATCATTGTGTCTAGAAGACGGGAAAACCCCAGCAGAACCATCTCAGATTGCACTGTGTGGTACAGACTGTGAGGGAATGATGAACAAAAGTTGCTGTGTTCAACATAGAATGAGTTCTTTGCTGTTGGAACATTTTATTTTGTGATGTAGTAGAAGAGAGCAGAAGAAAATAGGAGAGGAATAGAAAGTCTGGCTTTAAAAGTTCTGTCAGAAGGATTGTCTGTTCATCTCACAGCTCATCTGTTGGAATACTGTCCTGGGATGGGAGTTCATGTTTCTCCTACTCCTGAAGCGATTTCAGTCACATCTTCTAAGAGATGCTATCACTTCCTAACGTTTCAGAGATGAGAGTCTTTCCCAGGCTTTGGCAGATTCCTGGGTCCTGCTCACTGAAACTGCCCCATCAGTGCTGAGCAAGAGGGATCTCAGCTTTTGCCCGCTCCCCTGGGAAGCAGGACTGTCAAGTTCCATGTTGTGCTTCCTATTTTGGATGAAGTATACATCAAAAATTCAGATAACTGTGCCATGTACACCTGTGCTCAGAGCCTTTCCTTGAAAGTTAGAAATACATCTTCAAGTTGTCTCAAGCAGAGGAAAGAAACAGATTTAGATTTCCAGTATTTGGGAGGAGGGTTTGTGTGCACAAGTGGGGGAAAAGAAGTTATGTGCAGTAATATACTTCTGTGATATTCCCTGGCTAGTCTGCAGCCAGGTAAGTGTTGAATAGGAGACCTGGAATGGGAATCTAGAAGAGTTTTTCCTGCGTGACTTCACCACATGAAAGCATTTACTTGGTATCATACGTCTAATTTAATAAACCTTATGGGTTTATAATTATCTTTGAGTCTTTTAACCTATGTTTATCTTTGACTGAAATGTTTCTACAGCTCCCCAAACGTTTGGGAGTGGGAAATCCGATGATATAAGCCAGGTTTTCTGATAAAACCAAGAACCTCCTCTTCTACCACTCCTACTTTTGTTGCTGTAACTCTCTTATTATTTTTAAAAAGCCTTTAGCACTTCTGGGGTGGGAGTGGGAGAAAGTATTAATTTGGCTCTACTGCCCATAGAATTTTAAAAAAACCAACTTCTTTCTTATTTTTAGAAGATTTTTAGAAGATACTTATAAATTACTCATATAGTAAGTGAACTCCTGAACAGTATCACAAGATAATTATTTCAGTGCAACACAGAATTCCTCAGGTTTATTCGCATTTTCTTTTTTTGACAGATTTCCAACAAATGCATGGCACTCAGGTACGTCATTGATGAAATTTAAATGCTCACTATATTTTAATAGAAAGACACTCTTTTTTCCCCTATTATTAGGGAATAAACAAGATCTATTACAGTATAATTCTAAGATAATTTCTGCTGATGCGAACTCCCCAAGTGATTAGCAGACTATATTAGAAATCACTCATCAATACTGTCCCTTTGTTTGGATTTCAGTAAAGGTGCTTTATGTAGACTGCTTCAGTGGAATCTGTCGGCATTCGGTGTGGGGCTTGGTCCTGGCTTCAGTGCCGTGCCTGCCCCCAGGCCAGGGCCGGAGGGCGGGGGGGGGGCGGCCTCCGGGGCCCTGGCGGCCCCTCTGCCACCCTTGTGGCTCTAATTTCTACTACGACACAAGCCTTCTCTTCCAGCCTTTTAAATATGTAATTCGCAGAGGCATTACCACAGCTTCTAATTGGCTCAGCATCGTAAGTCCCCTGGAACTAACCATGTTCAGCCCCAGGGGAAAAGACGAGTAAACCCATGACACTTAAGAAGTCCCTTTTGGAGGTGTATTTTTAATCCACTCACAACTTTACATTGTTTTCTAAATTTGTTTTGAATATAAGAATAGTTATAGAAACCATCTGTCAGGTGATATATAAAGCTAGACGTTAAAAAAAAAGTGTGGTCTACTTCACTCTTTATCATCATTCTTCTTATTGACATAATTACTATGAATTTCATTTTCCTGCAATTTAAACTGATTCTTTTTCCCAGGCCATATTTTTTGTTTTGTTCTTTTGTTTGTTTTTGGTTGGTTGGTTGGTTGGTTTTTTTGGTAGATTGAACTTTGTGTGCTATAGTAGAGATAGCAAACTGTTCACCATCTCACAGAAACCGGCCCAGTGTATGTGGCAGATCTTCATTTCCTCATTACATGTTTTCTCTTCTGAATTCTTTTCTATTTTTCACTGCAATCTATTTTTCATTGGCTTTTCTCTCATTAATACCACAAAAAGGTCAAACTGAACTTTTAATCTCATCCTCTTTTTTTTTTTTTTTCCGGTGAGGTCAAAATTAGGCTAAATGAGTTTGTCTATCCCTACCTGAAAACCTCTTTTTAATATCTATATTGATAGCAGTGGGACAAAAAAATAGATTGGAGAGAGTTTTAAACTTTAAAATGTATTATCAAGTGAAAGAAGAACAGTGAAATGTGGAAATAAAAAGAAAAGCAAGAGGAGTTTCTTGTCATTTGTTTTTGGTAACTGGAGAATTGTCAGAGCTCAGAAAGGCCATAAAGACTTCGTTGTGTATTTGAATCAAGTTTTAGAGCCAGATAGTTACAGGGCAAATTCATTCTCAATATACAGCCTCTGGAACAACGACCATAACATTAATCAGATGTGACAGAAATGTCAAGATCCTCATAAAGAAATCATTCACTCATCTGGATTATTATATCAAGAGATTTTTTTGTGTGGTCTGATAAATATAGGGCATGGAAGGAAATGACTTATTTATAGTTACCTTATTATTTCATAGTGATAGTGCTCACCATCGCTCCCATACAGCTCCAGAACTCCTTAGCTAGGAAATACATAGAAATTACATGACCTGGGTCATCATACTTGCCGCTAAAGAGGATAAATACAAAAGACCTGTATACAAAATAAGATCCATGCCCAGTTATGGTGCTCTGTACTCTCTGTGAAATATGTTACCATTATTTCTTTTGAATGTAATATTGAAATCCATTTAAGCAGAGATGTCACTGGAAACTCCTGGAAGTACCAGCTTAAGCAGTCCCACACTGGTTGAGCATCCCATTAGCCTGTCTCAGACAATGACCAGTACCAACAACTTAAGGAAAGAGCTTAAGAAACACAGCAATGATCAGTTCCTCTTTCCTTTCTTCTAATGATCAGTGCTGCAGGCATTTCCTCCTCTTGATATAACATTAGGGCCATTGTTTAGTTATCCTCGATGGACCTTTCTGCAAGTGACTTGCCTAATCCCACTTTGAACCTGTTAATACTTTTCACATCCTAGCTTAATTTAGCAGTGAGTCATACAGCTCAATATTTTGCGTGGAAAACAGTTCCCTTTGGCTTTATCTGTTTTTAAA